AAAGGACCACACTAACCCTAGTAGACTATAAGCAACCTAACAACCTAGACCCAATTTATTTACCCCAAATCTTATCTCAACTTGAATTAGAGCCCGATATATATATATACCCCCCCCCCTCGAAATTCCGATTAAGGGAACTCATAAAAACCTCAATTCTGGTCCTAAAGGATCACACTAACCCTAGTAGACTATAGGCAACCTAGCAACCTAGACGCAATTTATTTATCCCAAATCTTATCTCAACTTGAATTAGAGCCCGAGATCTACTACTACTACTACTGTTAATATATATTATTAACATAAATATAAATTAAAATTATACTACTACTATTGTTAATATATATTATTAACATAAATATAAATATAAATTATACAATACAGTATAAACTAAAATAAAATATTGTTTATATATATGCTCTAATTTGATTGTTTAGAGCCTAGGCTCTATACAAACCACACCCTATATTATTTATTAACTTTTCGTTAAATATAATTTATATATTAAATATATTATTTAATATAACAATAAAATATTAAATATTTAATATTATATTATAAATTGTGAATAGTGGTTACTGATTAGTGATTAGTCGGTCCACATGTGAAAATAACCTGAAAAAAATGCTAAATTTTGATTTCATGCAAAGTAGATCATTTTATGGTAGAATGTTTTACTATGTATTTTGTTTTCGTATGCTTTCTTCTCTTACCAAACATTTAAAAGGTAATTTTACCATAAAAATATTTTTCAGAAAATATTTTCGTACCAACCAAACATGCCCTAAAAGATAGAATTTCAAAGTGTCAAAATTAAAGAGAGAAAGAGAGAGCGCGCTCAAAGTGTGAAAATTAATCATAAAGAGAGGGAGAGCAATTTGCCTAACTAATGGGTAAGGTCAACCAAAGAATTCTTGAAAATTAGGAAGTTTATCAGCAAAAGCTTTAATTGAACTTGAATGATAATTTCCATTATTTCAAAGATGGATGGATTAGGTGTAGACAATTGAAATCAACTTTTCGTGCTCAACACATGCAAATGATAAACCCCCAACTGCTCGATTTTACATCTAACAGTCAATAAAACAATTGTGACATCTTTATGCAAAAAGTAAACGGTCTTCTTGCATGCGTTTCCAGAACTGAATAGAATTATTGGTAAAACAGAAAACTTACACTAAATATAACAAACTTACACACCGTATTAATGATTCTCCAAAACTATACAACAAATAAAAGCAAAACTGAGACTGACATTTCAGCTAAAACCCTTGACCAAACATGGTCATGACCATATGCTTGAGGAACTGGGTGGCACCCCAACTTCTATGGTCCCTTCTATCATCTGAACCACTGCCTTCATGGAAGGCCTCACAGAGGGGTCTTGCTGTATACACCACAATCCTACCTTAACCAATCTCTCAACTTGGTTTACATCATCGAGAGCTTCTTCATCTCCTTCTACTAGTTCATGTACCATGCCCTCATAGAAACAATCATAAACCCAGTCTGATAAGATCACCTGCTTGTCTAAGCCTTGACTTAGATCCATCCTCCTTTTGCAGCAAACTATCTCAAGCAACATGATACCAAAGCTGTAAACATCTACTTTTGCGGAGATCGGAACATTTCTGAACCACTCTGGAGCCACATATCCCCTCGTCCCTCGAATATCAGTGTCGGTTCGTGTTTGGTCGCTCTGCAAGAGCTTTGCCAGCCCAAAATCTGCAATCTTCGGGGTGTAGGTCCTATCGAGAAGAATGTTTTGAGGCTTTATGTCACAGTGTATAATTGGTGATTCGCACTCATCGTGTAAATACATGATCCCTCTTGCTATACCAAATGCTAGTCGAGTTCTTTCCCCCCAGGTTGGCCTTATGGAGCCAAACAGGAAATCTGCAAGAGAACCATTTGACATGAATTCATAGACAATAAGCCTTTGATTTCCCTCATCACAAAAACCCACTAACCGGACCAAATTCTTGTGATGTGTCCGGCCGATGACACTCAATTCGGTTCTAAACTCCTTCTCACCTCTCTCCACAATCTTATCCAACCGTTTTACTGCAATTTCAAGAAGATCGCCCAATTCAATAACCCCCTTATAAACACTCCCAAATGATCCATTCCCAAGACGCTCCTTGAACCCATCTGTGGCTGCTTGCAATTGTGAATATTTGAACGGTATCAGATTAGTCTCCACGTTCTCTATAGTGGTTGGGATCCTAATAAATGCTCTTCTTCTCCGAACACTGTAAGCAATAACAACCATGGTCAGTAGGAAAAGAAATGCAGAGGCGCTTATGAGAAACCCCCCCACGACGAATAAGTTTTTGCCTTCTTTTTCCTCCTTCTTTGCTGGACTCCTCTCTCGAATTTTGATAAGAGCAGTTCCCCCAAGTGTGCCATCCTCACGGCCATCAGTTAAGGGCATCCTCTTCTTCCAGCACTTTTGGGTCCTGTAAATTGCAGCATCACACCAACAATCAGCCTTACAAGCCTCCATGCATTTCTCCACATCCATGTCACTATCTAGCCGTTCATAGTCCCCGTAAGGCCAATCAATGTTGTCCAACCTAGAAAATGAATAGTCTAATTCACTATAAGCATCACATCCTATACTGAAGTCATTTTTACAGCCAGCATAAGTATAATTCGGATCAATAAAAGAAAAACTTTCATGTGGGCAACGACACTCGACCTTCTCATCTTGGTTCAAAACACAATAGCCATTAAGACCGCAGATGCCTGGCACACTACAAGCATCTTTATCACCGGGAATTGTTGAAACCCTAGTCCAAGATTCTCCATTATTGGGATTTTTCAGAAGAGAATACTGCCGGAAAAACCCATCAAAGTCTAAAGTAGCTCGTTGGTAATAATCCTCTACTGGGTTTACAATATTTGAAGAAATGGTGGAGATTATCTGATTTGTTGAGTTGATAAGATAAAGATTTCCAGTACGATTGAAAACAAAGGTTAGTGGAGAATTAGCTCCATCTGTTCCACTTGCATAATATGCCACATTGGGGACCAAATTTTGACGATATTTCTGGTATAGAACGAGATTGCCATCTGTTTGAAAACCTAACAAGTATCTACCAGTTCTGTAATCTCTTTCCAGACGACTAGAAGCCAGATTTGTACCTTCGCTTATGCTTTGCCCAGGTAACAGAGTATCAGTTGGGTGATCGAAACTTTGCCACACGATACTAGAGCGAGAGTTCAACAATACAAAACTGCCAGTGTCGAGTATGGAAGCTGAAGTTGCAGCATCAGTTCCATTGTATATCCAACTTTGTTGGCCATGAGAATCGGTGAAACCCAACTTACCATCAAGCGTGAACTGAATTATCGAACCATCTTGCACCGGTTGATCTCTGTTTGCCGACCAAACTAACGTTTTTTCTGAGATTGCAGCAAACCAGATTCCGATGAGGAATTGGTCGCGATCAATCGAGTAAAACCCAAATGCAAATTCTCCTGAAGGGGAGACCCTATATGAATCATTTGAAGAGGAAGAGAGAAGGGATGTTCCGAGAGTGATGTTTTTGTTTAACTGGGATGACACTCGAGGAAGGCTAAGGAAAGGAAGAGAGGAGAAGAAAAGAAGGGCAGTCAGGGGTGCCATAACTGCAGGAGTCATGATCTCCAAAACGTTGGGGTTGACTTGATATGCAAACGAAGAAACGGCCGAGTGAAATGAAATTTTTGTGTAGAGTTTTCTTATATCCTTGTCAAACACGCGTCCAAGACTACTTGTTCCTAATTAATCTCCCTATATTCCACGAAGAAACGGCCGAGTTAAATGAAATTTTTGTGTAGAGTTTTCTTATATCCTTGTCAGCGGGTCAAACACGCGTCCAAGACGACTTGTTCCTAATTAATCTCCCTATATTCCATTGTTTAAAGCAATGGTTTAAAAAACGGATCGGTGACTCGGATTGGGCACCCAAAAAATCGATTCGGATCGACAAATCGGTGATCCGGATCGAAAAATCGGGTGAATCGGTTAGAATAAAGCTTTAAAAAAAATCTGAAAAATTTATTAAAATTTATTATAAATATTGTTTTTTTAAGAATTCAATAAGAAATGAGGGTACTTCATTAAGAATTTTCATGTTTTTGAATGAATATGCGAATATTGATATGTTCTTTCCCTGCATGAACCGCCATTCAGCATTTAATTTACATCACACAAAAGGATAAACATAGAATTATCATGGAATAAGTATATCAACATACATGGACTACAATAAAGTATATAATTAGTAACATATGATCTAAAAATAAAATGATAGACGACGTTATTGTTCTTCTTGGTCACGCTGGTGCCATTGATTGAATTCGTTTAACAATTCATTGATTCGATCTAAAAACGAATCATCGATATTAACAGGTGTCTGACTATTCCCAAATCCCCGAGTGTTAGTGTTTTGTTGTGTTTCCAATCCAAAATCCCCGAAGCTTTTCTATCCTTCATGCTCACCTGCACTGTCGTGCTCATCCCTACACTGTTGCTGTTGAGACTCGATATATGAATAATATGGCTGGGATAGGGTGGCCTCAAAATCATCATCTCTCTCATTTTCTCTTTGAATAATATGGATTAAAAAAAAAAATTAACAGATTTTCAAAAAAATCGATCATGGATGAAAAAAAAAATCACAAATTTTCAAAAAATTCTATCATGGATTACAAAAAAAAAATCGATCAGGGATTAAAAAAAAATCACAAATTTTCAAAAAATTCAATCATGTATTACAAAAAATTTGATCATGGATTACAAAAAATTCGATCATGGATTACATAAAATTCGATCATGGATTACAAAAAAAAAAATACAAAAAATTCGATCATGGATTACAAGAAAAAAAACAAACATTTCGATCATGGATTACAAAAATTCGATCATGGATTACAAAAAATTCTATCATGGAATTACAAAAATTCGATCATGGATTACATAAAATTCGATCATGGATTACAAAAAAAACAACAAAAAAGAAAAACAATTCGAATCATGGATTACAAAAATTCGAATACATGGATTC